TTTTTTAATCATAAGACAAGGAAGTGTTCCTAAATATGATATCTTAGAAAGATTAAGAACATGAATGGAAATTTTAAATAAAAGGTCTTAGATTTTTGTATTAAGAATGATTACCTTAAACACAATCAGAAGTTAAAAAGCATGTGAGAAAAAAATACTTTGAATATTTGACAGACAAAACTTAATACCTTTAATATATAAATGCTCTTTTAAATCAATAAGATATAAACAGCAATAGGAAAAGAGCAAATATATATTGATGTAATTTATGAAAGAACAAATAAAAATGACCAAGTAATGTCTCAGTTTCATGAGCAAGCAAAGTACCAATTATAATAATTGAAACTACCTAAAAGGAAATATTTGACCCATAACATTGTCAAAGACTCCATTTAGTGACAATTTTTTCAAGGCACTCATTTCTTATGAAATTGTAAATTACAACAGTCTTACTATAGGACAATTTGATGGTATGAAGTAAAACCCTTAGCAGGTTTTGGTTTTACAGTACCAGGTGTAGAGACTGCTTTTAGGCAACCAACTTGAGCAATGAAAATCTGAGAAAGGTAAAGGGGCTCACAGTGACTCCAAGGCTGAATATAAACAGGGCCATTAGGTGACCCACCTCACAATATCTATAAGCCCTAGCTGACCAATGGGCACAGGTAACAGGAAAAAAACAAACTCTCATATTTCCTCACCTGCTCCCCCTTAACTGTAGTCCCCCCCACCACCACCACCACTGCCTCCTGGCAGACACTCTCTCCTGTGCTGTACTGTGTGTGCTGCTCTCTTGCAGTGTATTCAATAAATTTCTATCTCCTTTGTTCTGCTTTGGGTGAATACTTTTACCTCCCATGCTGCTAGTGACCTGATCAGGTCGCCCCACACTATGTAGGAAAAGTGTCCCCTAGTCAGATATAATGTTGTTACAAAACAAAATTCAACTCAGTAAATTTTAAAGATCTTATTGGCTTTATTCAGCAATTCAGAAATCAGGGAGCATCCAATCTAGCAGATAGAAAAGAGTTCTGGGGAGCTGTACAAAATGAAATAGTTTTTTTTTTTTTAATTTTATTTATTTGGGAGAGAAGCGTGAGATCAGGGGAGGAGCAAAGGGAGAGAGAGAGAACCTCCAGCAGACTCCGTCTGCACTGAGCACAAAGGCCAATGTGGAGCTTGATCCCAGGACTCCCAGATCATAACCTTAGCCAAAACCAAGAGTCAGACGCTTAACCCACTCAGCCATCCAGGTGTCCCCAGAATGAAAGACTTTTCTGGCAGAAGGAAGCAGAAACAAGGAAGTTATACTAGACAAAAAAAAAGTAGGTTAGTTATTGCAAGGCTGCTTTCCTTTCGGTATAGCAGAGGTCTATCAAGCAAATTGCCTAACCAGTGCTAATTAGGCACTAGTTTAAGATTCCATCTCTGGGGGAAAAAAAAAAGATTCCATCTCTGGGAGAGCAGAAACTAAGTTAAGTTTCAGTTTGGGCAAGGGGCTTTGCAGAAATGACTCCACTTTAGGCCTGTTGTCTTGTTTTTAACAGTATCTTTTCCCATAAAACATTCAGATAAAGGAGACACAACCTCTTCACATAAAGCCTGTTGAAATATTACAATTTTCACTCAAACTTTTACCTTAATCCTATCAATTCTTACATTTCTGTATTCCTTCAATCTAATTACAGCCCACATTAGGGTTTTACCAACAGGTGTCGGTACCACAATGCATGTGTCTCCTGTGTCCAGGAATGTCTGATACTTCTTTTCTTCATCCTCCCACCATTTACCCATTCCTGAGTGTTAAGCTTTGGGTCCCAAGCCAAGGGACTCTGGCCCTTGTGCCAATTTTCATCTTGGTTCATCTACCTGACTATTGCCCCAGGTGATTCCAGGCCACATCTCTCTTTGGTTTCCAGCTTTTTAAATTTCTCCAAATTGGGGTAAATAGAGCAAACTTGTTTGGGGGTATTTTAATGTTGGGGAACTAGAAAGGGGTTCATTTGGTTCACCCAATCTTCAACACTGCTATATTAAAAACCTTTTTAACCCCATCAATGTCTTATTTCTTTCATTTTTAAAAAATGTTATTTATTTATTTGAGAGAACAAGAGATAGAGAGAAGGAGAGGGAGAAGCAGACTCCCCATGGAGCAGGGAGCCCAACAGGGAACTCGATCTCAGGATGTCAGGATCATGATCTGAACTAAAGGCAGATGCTTAACCAACTGAGACACCCAGATGCTCTATTCATGTCATTTCTTAATAACCATCTAAAGATTTCCACTTTACTGGGAGAGTTTTTTGACTCTGCCTTTCCCCATTTCCTTGTTAACTAATTTGTTATATTAGTCCCTGAAAGACCTATAAGAGGAAGCTGAGACAAATTTTATAAGGCTGCCTAGATATTTGCTTGCTTTTGCTCAGGGAAATCCCTTTAAAAAAAGATTATTTATTTATTCATAAGCAAGCAAGCAAGCAAGCAGAGAGAGAAAGAGGCAGAGAGAGAAGCAGGTTCCGTGCAGGGAGCCCCACCTGGGACTCCATCCTGGGATTCCAGGATCAGGCCCTGGGCTGAAGGTGGCGCTAAACCACTGAGCCACTCAGGCTACCAGTGAAATCCTATTCTTAAGGATTTGTAATGGAGGTTTCATTACTTAGGCATGATTGAATTATTGGCCATTGGTAATTAAACTTAAGCTCCAGCGCCTCTCACCTAAGAAGTCAGGAGTGGAGCTAAAAGTTCCAATCTAACCAAGGTCTGGTCTTTCAGGCAACTAGCTCCCATCCTTGCACTACCTAGCTCTCGCACCCTAAGAGTCACATTAGCAAAAAGATACTTCTATCACACTGGGAACTCCATGAGTTTTAGGAGCACTATTCCTGGATGCAGGGACAAAGACCAAATATATTTTTTATTATACCATTGCCATCCTGATGCATATGAAGTAGTATCTCATTGTGGTTTTGATTTATTTCCCTAATGATGGTTATCTTTTTATGTGCTTATTGGCCATCTGTGTATCTATTTGGAGAAATGTCTATTCAAGTTCTTTGTTCCTTTTTTAATTGAGTTGTACTGTTGTTGAACTGTAATATATATTACATTATATATATTATTATAATAGTATAATATATTATTATTAATATATAATTATAATTATATAATTATAATATAGCTATATAATATAGAATATTATATTATAAAATTATTATTTATATATATTATATATTATATGTATTATATATAATATGTATATATTCAGGATATTAATCTCTTATCAGATACTTGGTTTACAAATATTTCTCCAATTCTGTAGGCTGCCTTTTCACTCTCTTGATAGTATCCTTTGACAGACAAAGATTTTAATTTGGTGAAGTACAATTTGTATACTTTTTACTTTGGTGTCTGTGCCTTTGGTGTCATCTAAGACATCTTTGCTAAATCCAATGCCATTAAGGTTTTCCCCTGTTTTCCTCTAAGAATTCATAGTTTCAGGTCTAAATGTTGACATCTTTGATCCACTATGAGCTAATTGCTATCTGTAGTGTAGGAGGCGCCTATATTTATTCTTTTATATTTGTTGAAAACACTGTCCTTTCCCTAATGAACGATCTTGGCAACCTTGTTGAAAATTATTTGACTTTATTTCTGGTCTTTGGAACAGTGTTACATCTTATTTTTTAATACTTAAGATCATTACCATTCATAAAACAGAAATTAATTGAAAAACCTTTTCATAAACAGTAATTTTGCTTAAAAAAGGGGGGGCAAGATAATTTTAGGTAATAAACCCAAAATTCTATAAATCTGTTTTCAAGGTGTTACTCAGCCAAACATGGCTGCCACACAACAAAACCCAGAAATGTGCAATGCTAACTCGATTCAGTAGTCTGATATTTTTGCTGACTTTTAATCATTTAAGCTTTACCCAGTATTTGTGGGTGGAATATTGTCAAGCCCTGGTCATCCCACTCCCCTTACCATTGATATCAAATGACCCAACCCAGCGTGGCTTACATACCATTTAATGCCAGAACAATGCTTATCATCAGTGTATTCCTGGAATTACTGAGAGTCCTTAGTTTTCTAAAACTTAGCAAACCTTCAAGGAAACCCAAATCGCCCCACCCCGCCCCCACGGGATGGAACATCACTGAAGAGTTCTAGAAGAGACGATTTCTGACAGGGTACTAGTATTCTAGAAGTTTCAACGAGCAGAAGGCAGTATCATGCACTTTGAAACCATAAACACGGCACTTCTATTGTGCTATTGCAATGACACAAGCAACGCTTCTGTCCGCAGTGTTCGATCTTTACAATCTGCGTAAGTGCCGCGATCGCTCAGCAGCAGCGGGCCACCCAGACGCACAGGCGTCCCTACACCCAGCGGCCTTTAGGGCCAAGTCTGCACCTGCGCGGGCGCCGCTCTGGGGCTCACGCTTCGCCGCGCGGGAGGAACCCCAAGCGCCCGGCCCGGGTTACGCAGGACCCGCCTGGCCGCCGCCCCGCCCCCCGCCCCGCCCCACCAGCAGAGGGCGCCCACGCCCCCCCGGGCCCGCCCCCTCGGCGGCGGGCGCGGCGTCCTGTGCGCAGGCGCAGGCCCCGCCCCCCCGCTCGGCCCCGCCTCGCCGCCGCGACGCCGAAGGAGCCGGCCCGGCGTGCCCCGCCTCCGCCCCCTGGCCGGCGCAGCGCTCGCGGAAGCATGGAGGGCGAGAGCACGTCGGCGGTGCTGTCCGGCTTTGTGCTCGGCGCGCTCGCGTTCCAGCACCTCAACACCGACTCGGACACGGTGAGCCGAGGGGCGAGGCGGGCTCCGGCGTCGCCCCGGAAGAGGCCCGGCGCGCGCGCCCCCCCCAGCTGCCGTTGCCCGGGCCGCGCCCACGAGCCCGCCGACGGCAGCCCGCGCGCTCTCTGCCCTGGCGCTCCGCCCCCTGCGCCCCCTGCGCCCCCTGCGCCCCCTGCGCCCCCTGCGCCCCGCGCCGTCCTCGGTGTGCCCCCCCCGCCCACCCCCCCGCCCGCCTGGGCGGTCCCGGACGCGCTCTCCCTCCTCCTCCCCGCGGCGTTTAATTCCCCCCGACCGGAGGGTCCCGCTCGCCGCCGCTTCTCTCTTCCAGCAAGCAGTCCCCTTTTCTCTGGTGAAAGTTGGTTGTGGAAGGATGGCGAGTCCGCAGAGCGCTCTCCCAGCCGCGCCGGGAAGGGGGCCGGTGACCTTCCCGTTTCTGACGACCGGCGGTGGTTTTCCAGGACCGCCGGGCTTCGCGTGCGCGGCGGCGGCGGCGGCTGTGCGTGTCTGTGGAAGCGGCGCGCTAGGGAGCAGTCGTACAGGGTGCGTCCAGTCAGGGCCGCGTCCCGAACCTTAGTGGGCGAGAAAGTCTGACCTGGCAGAGCAGGTTGCTGACCCTGCTTGCAGTGGCACCAGATTGATGGAATTGTGAGGCCTCTGATGCATTCAGCTGTCATTGAAATACTTCGGTTTATCCTCGAGTATTAGTTACTCTTCTGCTTCTGCCAGGTTCAAAATCTCCGGGTGAAGTAGTATTGTAAGTACAGTACACGTCTTAAAAAAAAAAAAAAAAAAAGACTTTTGGGAAGTCAGAGAAATACTATAAAACTTTGAGCCTGAGAAGCAGTGTGTTCTATTTAAGTGCTTAGTACGCTAGTACAGTTTAGAAGATGCCATACCGAACAAAGCCTTCTAATTTCTGTTAGATGATTGTGCCCTTCACTTTACAAGGTCTGTTTTATCCAAAATTGCTTTTTGGCACCATCCTGATAAGGTTGGAATTGGTATCTTTCATGTCTACAATTTTATTTTATTTTTTTTTTTAAGATTTTATCTATTTATTCATGAGAGACACAGCGAGAGGCAGAGACACCGGCAGAGGGAGAAGCAGGCTCCACGCAGGGAGCCCGACGTGGGACTCGATCCCGGTCTCCAGGATCACGCCCTGGGCCGAAGGCGGCGCTAAACCGCTGAGCCACCCAGGGATCCCCCATGTCTACAATTTTAAATGACCTTGTAAAGTAACACGTAGCTAACAGCAGATATATGGCGATTTAAAATGTGGCGCTGTGGAAATTATTTTGGAATATCTTACTGCGAATATAAACAGAATGGATCCTTAGTCTCTGTAGCTTAAAATATTAGCCCTTGAGAAGTACCATGGAATTAGAAAGGCCCTTATTTCTTACATCTTTAAAAGGTGGTTTTCCGGATAGCTGTACTTGCATTGACCCTGCTTCCTTTCCCAGGGTTTGTCTAGAACACTGAACTATATAGAGTTCTGGATTTTTCCCCCTAGATTCCAGGAAAGACTCACATTATTGAAACATTCTGTTTGTGGTTTTTTTAACCACAACAGTTAAATGATGGTGGGTGGGGGGCAGCATTTTTAACTACTCATAAAGAAGTTAAAACCTTTATCGCCTCTTAAGCATATTGAGTCTTTAAATGTGCCAAGTAAAATATTTGAAAAATCTGAAATTCAAAGACCTCATTACTGTTGTGGCAAATGTCTGCATTTTTAAAACAAACAGGGCTCAACAGCTCCCCTTTTAGAAATCAGACTGAATTCCAGATGTTTAATATTTTGTACGATTTTTTATCTAAAAACGCTAATCATTGTGTTACTTAATAGCTCAGAAGCATCTACTGGCTGCTAGAAGAAGCACATGCCAGTAATCCAGAGTCCTAGTCCCAGAGACTAGTTACTTGGGATGTCCCGTTATTGGCGCTACTCCTATTTATGATTTCATTACTCAGAAAAGAGAGACTTCTCTGTTCAAGGCAAACTGCTCTGCTCCTCCTTCTTCAAACATTGTATGCTCATTCCTGGCTTTAAGCCTTTAGTGTTACAGGTGTGGTAAAATCATGGTATTTACAATCTCTTCTCATTTTATTATTTTATTTGCAGTCTCTCTACTGTTCATGTTTCCCAATTACACTGGAAGTGCACCTGGTCTTTTACATACCTGGAGCTGTAGCACACACTTTGTATACATTGTGAAACACTTGGGAAGTATTGGTTAGTTAAGTGAGTAGTAAGTCAATCACGGTATTCTATATACTGCTTATTTTTATCCTTATAGGAAGGTTTTCTTCTTGGGGAAGTGAAAGGTGAAGCCAAGAATAGTATTACTGATTCCCAAATGGATGATGTTGAAGTTATTTATACAATTGGTGAGTCATTTATTTCTGTGTCTCTTACATTTGGTAGTTTATGCTGAATGGGATCAGCATAAATTATTTTTTAAGTTGCTTTAAAAAATAAATAAAACATTTTAAAGCAGATTTTACTGCATTCATTTCTCAATGAAAATTATGGCTGTGGGCTGCTGAAGCAAGAGTGTGGGACATAGGATGCAAATAAGACTACTGTGGGGAAACAAGGATGGAGTAGCTCCTGCTCATATTTAAGTGTCAGGAAGATGGCCCAGCAAAAGGAGAAGGAACCAGCAAGCAAGACAAAAATAAATAAATAAACAAACAAACAATTCAGACAAAAACATTGAATGCTGCGGAAAAGTTGGAAGAGGAGAAATGAAAAAAAAAATGGTGATTAGATCACTGAAAACCCTAAGTAACTTGTGAATTGTAATGAGGGAAAGGCCAGCCTACAGAGGGGTTGAGGAGAGGGCCCTGAAGCACCTGCAGCAGATGGTAGCTATTCTCTCAGGAAGAAAGGGAAAGGAGAGCTTTAAAATGTATAGGGGGTTTTCTGATTATCTAACATATAATTTTTTCTAAGCATATTTTGAAAAACAATATTGGTGGTGTGCTATATAAAAAAAGTGGCATCATGACATCAGGTTGTGTCATGACCACTTCCCCATGTTAGACAATCCTGTCATTTTTTATGAATGCATTGTATTCTTTAGTGATTTCAGCAGTCCTTTAAATTATAATCAGTTGTTTACAGTTTTTCATTGTCCTAAGTTACACTACAGTGAACATCCTTATACATTTTCTACATTTGTTATACATAGATTCCTGGGGTTGGTATTATGGTGCCAAAAGGTATGAGCATTTTTAAGGTTCTTGATTAGTATTAGCAAATTGCTTTCCAGAAAGATTGTATCAGTTTATATTCCTGTATGTCATTTTTTGTTTGCCACTTTAAAAGGTTAAAAATGGAAGCATATGTGTAAATTTACGTATGTATATAAATGTATATTTATGTAAATACAGAAATTCAGTCTCATTAGACTCTTCTGTGGCAACCACTGTTTTATAATATTTTTTTGCTCATTAACAAAACATAAGTATATAAGTGTGTATATATTTTTACTTACACAAATGGGATTATACTATTCCCATTGGATAAATAGTTCCAAGATAAATATCTCTATGGATACTGTTCTGTTAGGACAGAATAGTATCATTGTGTATAGCCTGCCCTTCTTTCTAATGGCTCTATATTCCCACTGTATCTACGTTCCATCACTTATGTAATCGGCTATGAATGACTTGTTGTTAATACAAACAATATAATGATAAACAGTTTGCCTTGAGTCTATTGGAAAGTCAAATTCCTTGTAGACCATTGTCTTTGGAAAAGTCATGCTATCTAAAGACTCCACAATATGTAAAAGTGCCTAGGTCCCCATACTGTTCCCACCACTAGGTATTATATTACCAATCTTTTAATCTTTGCCAGTTTGATGAGTGAAAAGAAGTAATTTTAATTTGTATTTCTTAATTACAGACGAGGTTATGTGTTTATTACTTTGGGGGCAAGGACAGGTCTATATTGCACGCTTTGTATTTCTGCTGAAATATTTTGGTTATTCTTACTGATTTGTAATACCATGTTACAGCTTAAGGTAGTTGGCCTTTTGTCATGTGTTATCCATGTTTCTATAGTTTGTGATTTTACTTTGTTATTATATATTTTTTTTCTGTTCAGACACAGCTTTATTTTTTAGATTTATTTATTTGAGGGAGGGAGAGAAAGTCTTAAGAAGCAGGCTCTGCACTCAGGTTGGAACTGACATGGGGCTCAAATCTCAGGACCCTGAGATCATGACCTGAGCTGAAACCAAGAGTCTGGTGTGCTTAACCAACTGTGGCACCTAGTCGCCCCCAGACACAAGCTTTAGAAACCAACTCATGGTGCATATTTTCCCTCTAGCTGTAATTGGCATGCCACCCAGGGTAATCAAACATATTTTGAGGAGTTTAATTAAGTAGCCATTTATTGAGCAACTCCATTATGCTGTGAACAGTGCTAAGCTTCAAGGTATTAGGCAAGTGCTGTAGGAACATGTAAGTATTTGCTCAGATTATTTTAAAATGTTGGATCATTAACGAGTAAAATCCAAGATCTACAAATTACTATACTGCTTTGGTTAATGAGGTTTTCATCATTTTTTTATTTTCCCTTATCTATACCAGTGTATATTTGGCCAGTTATCAGTAACAAAGACTGTTTCTGTCAGTTTTGTTTTGTCCTCCACACAGGGATTTATCAGGGTAACATACATTTGCTAGAAGAAAAATGTCTAAAGAAAATGATCACTTTTCCTTTTTTAAATAGAATTATTTTTATTAATATACACATAAAGTTATTGAAATGATGATTTCATGATTTCATTCTCTCTAAAGATGGCACTTGCAGGTACAAACCTGTAGAGGTATCTCCAGCCTTCAGATGTTTACTTGAAGAGATTATTCAACAGTTTTGATAATGGGTTTCCTCATCTAGCTGAAGATTCACAGATTCTCTGTAATCAAACTAATGTCTTTGATTTAAGTGACTAAAAAAATTTCTAGTAATCTGGCTAGGATCTGACCAAGGAAGAGACACATAAATAGAACATGTCACAGGAACTATCTCAAATAGATGATTGTTGTTGCAGTGATCCAGAAAACTATGTCTGGTAAATTTGTTTTTTGACACAAGGGACACTTAAAAGTGGGAAGCCTAGAAGAACTTGTATTGTCTTTGTTGTTGTTTTTAAAGTAATCTCTTCACCCAGTGTGGTGCTCAGATTCACAACCCTGAGATTAAGAGTCACCTGCTCTGCTAACCGAGCCAGCCAAGTGCTCCAGAACTTCTATTCTCTTGATAAGTTTCTGTGTTACCAGATGTGGATGTTTCACTCCTGTTTTTCCTTGAATAATTTTGAAAGATCTGAAAGTTTGGAATGATCGAGGGGACACCATATTTATCTTGATGCTTTTTACAAGATTTATAATGGTGTCTTATGCAATAGAATTTAATCTTCATTGCACAGCATCTGCAGCTACCAGTATTTAGATGTATTTTTATTAACAAGAATAAAACTTACTTCCTAAAAGATACCATTTTTTTTATTCTTAGTCTATAGTTAATATTGACAAATCCTTTATGAAGGAACTACTTGGAATAACAAAAGATAATCCCTTTAACAGCTGTTGTTGTCAATGAGTAAAACTAGAGCATAACCTTTTTTAGAATTCAATGAAAATATACCAACTTTGAATTGATCTCTTGTGTTGCTGTTCATTATTATTAAACCTGTTTAGAGGGAATGTAGTGTTCTAGTTAAGCGTGAGACACTGGGTTTGAGTTTTGGTTCCACCATTCTTTCCGCCTATTACCGCATCTTTAAAACAGAAGAAGGAAATGATAAAACATCTGTCTCATAGGTTTGTTGTAAGGATTAAATGAGATCATGTTAAAGTACTTCTTTGAAGCTATGTGCTATTTATATATGAAGTGCTCAATATATACTATTTAAATGATAATTAATGTAATCATAGCACAACATTCCTTTTTTCCAGACATCCAGAAATATATTCCATGCTATCAGCTTTTCAGGTAAGTAGTAAGAGGCAGTAAATGATCCATTAAGAAAATTACTGTCTGTAAATGAAGTAGTTTTTAAAACAAATACCTTAATTATCCTTTTTACATAGTGCTACTGATAAAAAATAAAAGACTTTTAAAGGAAAATACCTGAAAAGTCACTTGTTCATTTCAACTCTAATAGTTCTTTCTCTGTATTTATATGCTTGCTTTAGCTGTTCTCCACACACTCTCTCAGGTACCAGTTTACCTAGAAGATTGCTTTTCTCACACCCAGCACCTCATCGCATATTATAAATTCAGTGACACATTCTCATACATCAACAGCAGCCCTCTTTCTACTCTTTTATTTGGCTTATTTCATCATTTGTCTTCTCACTTATCACATATTTATTAATCTTTTGTCTGTTATTTGATTAGGTTCTTTATCCAGCCTGCTTCCTGTTGCCTTCCTATGGTGAAAATTTGTGTTTTTAGTCCTACAGATAGTAATAGTCCTAATAGGCTATGATATTTTTAAAAACTTTTCACTGAGGTATAACATACATACAGAAAAGTACACACATAAATGAATTTTCATAAACACTTGTAACCATAATATGTAGTTTTGATGAAATAGCTTTGATTTCTATAAAACGTATTTGAAAAATCAGCATTACTATCTTATAGTCACACTGTATGTACACATTGCTAAGGTTGTGTAAGAATTGCAGTGGAGCATGTGGTAAAGGTGAAAAAGATCTGTGGTAAGAGATGACAGAAATGAAGACTTTGGTCTTAAACTGCTATACCAGAAAGAGATGAGCTTGGGATAGTGTTTTACATACAGTGGACATACAAAAATATTTGTTGAATGAGGGGTTCTTGGTGGAGACTCATAAAAAGTACTTCCTTGGGGTACTCTGGACCAGCAAAAGAATAGGAAGGAAGAGTGAAAAAAAAAAGTGATTCAATATTTACTGGCAACTGCCTTAAATAACTATGCCAACTTAATAAAATCTTAGAATGGAGGAAGCCTATCTGATTCTCAGCCTTTTAGCTTTACAAGATAAAGGGGAGGGGAGGCATAAGGAGAACCACCTGAGAAGGCTGTCATTCAGCAAAGTTCATGATATAACCAATGCCACAGAGCTGGTTAATGGTAGGGCAAAAACTAGAAGAATGAGGATTTCTTCAGTTCTAATCCAACAGCATACCATGGTGTTTCTTTCTCGTTTTAAATAATAACAGGTAAACATGTTAAAGCCTTTTGATACATACTTCTTGGAGTCCCAGTTGGATAAGCTTTAATACCCACTTTTTATGTACCAATACAGAGCATGGCAAAGTATGGCCCATTTTTATAGGGCCGTCTATGAATAGTTAACATTTTTTAAAAAATATTTTATTTATTCATAAGAGACACAGAGGCAGAGACATAGGCAAAGGGAGAAGCAGGCTCCCCACAAGGAGCCCGATGTGGGACTCGATCCCAGATCCCGGGATCAGGACCTGAGCCAAAGGCAGACGCTCAACTGCTGAGCCACCCAGGCATCCCGAATAGTTAACATTTTTTAAGGGTTGTTCAAAAAACAAAAAGAAAAGAGGAATATGCAGCAGAGACTGTGTTCAGCAAAGCCTAAAATTTACTATCTGGCCCTTTAGAGAAAAGTTTGCCAGCCCTGCTTTAATAACATTGCTTCTCAGTTTTCCACTGAAAAACACTGAATCACTTATCAAGAATCTAAAGGATAAACACCTGGAAAACAGTCCACTAAAACTAAACTTAGTCACTTAAAAAATTATGCATGAATTCTTCACAATATATATTTCTATATAAAAATGCCCCCATCCCAGGAACTTAACATAAAATCAGTACTTGCACAGAATGTGTACACTGTTATCCTATTATTTCTTGGTGTATTGCCTTATGTCTCAGTTTGAGAAGTGGGAAGTGGATCATGCTAGATAAATACAGGAATAAACTCTTGTATTCAGAGTATTCATGTTAGAATAAGTAGGTAAAGTGGAGGGATATGTTTGATCAGTTGAAATCCCCTTTGGGTAGGTGGAGCACTTCATTTTGCCTATTTTCTCATTAAAATTTTTTGATGGAAAATTTTTAATGTCTTTGTAAGTTTAAAAAAATCGCTTATTAGGATATATTTTTTTCAGTTTGACATAACTAAAATTTTCTGAACACATTAGAACTGCCAGTAAAAGCCTATTATGGTGAATATTCTTTATAAAGGATTTTGCATAACATATTTCACCATCATAGAAAAGAATATTGTTGATCACAGTGAATGTGAAAGGGAGGAAAACATTATCTGCAATCCCTGTTATTGGAGAGGGAAGAAAGCTGGAATAAACACTTTAGAAAATTTTAGAATTATCTTTCAATTCTCCCTACATCTTTGACTTTCCAACAGAACAAAGACCACAAAACTAAATCAGTATCTAAACCGATTGCTCCCCTCCCTCAGCCCCAAAGACAACTAACTCCTAAAGCACTTTTCAACTTGATAGAAGTAATAAAGCTTTTGGAATTTGCAGTGAATAAACTGTCTTTTTGTTGTTGTGCTTCATTACTCATACATTCTTTTGTATGTATCAACAGTGTAAAAAAAAAAGTTTTAAGTAAATTGTGAATGAACTGTGAACTGGCTATGCAGACTTTAAAACTTCTTATATTTAATGGGTAGTTTGTTTTAAGTTTAATGTGATGCCCAGACTTCTTGAAGTTTCTCCACTCCTTTTCCTTTCTTGTTGCTTATGGGCCTTATATTTCTACCATTTTAAGTTTGTTAATTTGAGAACTTTCTCTTTTAATATTTTTAGAACTTCATCTGACTAGCAAGTGGATATATGGATTTTGGTTTGGTAAGGGGTAACTAAAATTAAAAGTGCCAATAAGATCATATTTTTAGCCAATTTGAAATCCTTTTATTTTGGCTTTTACAGCTTTTATAACTCTTCTGGTGAACTAAATGAGCAAGCACTGAGGAAAATACTGTCGAGTGTCAAAAAGGTATTCCCTGACTTAACCTTTTGTTTTTTGTTTTTTTTTTTTTAATTTTTATTTATTTATGATAGTTACACAGAGAGAGAGAGAGAGGCAGAGACACAGGCAGAGGGAGAAGCAGGCTCCATGCACCGGGAGCCCGATGTGGGATTCGATCCCGGGTTTCCAGGATCGCGCCCTGGGCCAAAGGCAGGCGCCAAACCGCCGCGCCACCCAGGGATCCCAACCTTTTGTTTTTTTGTTTGTTTGGTATTTATTATTTTCAGCTCCTAAAAATGTATAATACTTTAACAACTTTGAAGCAGCATTTGTCTTCACAGTGTCCTTTAAAGCAGGTGAGGAAAGGCTTGTTCTTTCCAGAAATCCAAAGTTTTGCCCTGAGAGCAAAACTAGTGATTTAAAGTATTGATTTTGTTCTCATCCTCAGCTATTCTAATTAGCATCAATCTTTTCCTCTTCTGCATCCCTACCATATCCTTTGCTAGTATCATTGATCCTAGGACTTAATTCATTACTCTTTTTTTACATGGCTACAGTTACTAGCACTTAGCTACATAGAACCCTCCACAGCATTTTGGTGTTTATTTAAGACTTGTTGAGTGATCAACAAGTATTTTGTATTTTCCAAACACAATATGGGGAGGGGGGGTACTTAAAACATTTTGATCTCTGAATTGAGAATAAAAGTAGATTCAGTAAAAGAAGTTTTCTTTTCTTTTTTTAAGATTGTATTTATTTATTCATGAGAGAGAGAGAGAGGAAGAGACACAGGCAGAGAGAGAGCAGGCTCCATGCAGGGAGCCCTGGCCCAGGACTCCAGGATCACACCCTGGGTGGAAGGCAGAAGCTCAACCGTTGAGCCACCCAGGCATCCTGTAAAAGAAGTTTCTTTCAAAAAACATCCTTTGATGAAAATGCTTTGGGCTTTCCCCCCAATTGTATTTGGTTATTTAAAATGTACTTCTAGGGGCAGCCCCGGTGGCTCAGTGGTTTAGTGCCAGCCTTCAGTTCAGGGCGTGAGCCTGGGGACCTGGGATCAAGTCCCACATCGGGCTCCCTGCATGGAGCCTGCTTCTCCCTCTGCCTGTGTCTCTCTCTGTGTGTGTCTCATGAATAAATAAATAAAATCTTTAAAAAATAAAAAAAATAAAATGTACTTCTAAAACCTGTTTAGTTTTAAAAAGAGAATCCAGTGTTCCTGGGTAGTTCAGATGGTTAAGTGTCTGCTTCTTCTAGGTCATGATCCTAGGCTCCTGGGATCGAGCCCCATATTGAGAAGGGAGCCTGCTTCTCCCTTTCCCTCTGCCTCTCCCCCTTGATCATGTTCTGTCTCTGTCTCAAATAAATAAAATCTTTTAAGAAGTCCTTTTAATTTCCTCTGTTAAAAGTTGCTGAAGTTGTCATACACATCTCTAAGCAAAGTGGTTGCTTTTATAATTATTTAATTCTTGGTGAATGAGATTTATTTTTCCAGTTTAAAAAAAAAAAGTTTAGGGGGATCCCTGGGTGGCTCAGGGGTTTAACGCCTGCCTTTGGCCCAGGGCATGATCCTGGAGTCCTGGGATCTAGTCCTGTATATCGGGCTCCCTGCATGGAGCCTGCTTCTCCCTCTGCCTGTGTCTCTGCCTCTCTCTCTCTCTCTCTCTCTCTCTCTCTGTGTGTGTCTCTCATGAATAAATAAATAAAATCTCAAAAAAAGAAAAGTTTAATACTAAGAAGTTTGTTCAGATGTTAACAGTTTATAAAACCATTTCATATGATCTTACTCAATTTTGAAACCAACTCTGTTGGATAGGTGATAGCAGTTAAAAGTTGTTGGATTCAGTTTACTTATTTAGCAGACCAAGTACCCAAACAGGAAGTTAACTTGTTTTCATTGACATTTTCTCTATTTAAAGATTTGACTAAAGACTAAGATTTTAAGATTTTTATTTATTTGGCGGAGCTAGAGAGCATAAGCAGGAGGAGCTGTGGAGGGAGAGAAAGAAAAGGCTCTCTCTTGGATTGTGGGGCTCAATCCCAGGACCCTGGGATCATGACCAGAGCTGAAGGCAGATGCTTAACTGACTGAACCACTCAGGTGCCCCTAAAGACTAAGATTATAAAAGAGCAAAAATAACCATAAAGAAACTAGAGGAATTTGGAATTTTTTTTTCTCATGTATACTGAGTAAAATCGTAGCCCTGTAACTGAATGGAAAGTAATCTGACTGTAAGTCAGTTTGCCTACTTTATAAAAGTAAAGTGTTAGGGGTACCTGGGTGGCTTAGTTGGTTGGGCATCTGCCTTTGGCTGGGGTCATGACCTTGGGGTCCTGGGATCAAACCCTGCTCTGTTGGGTTCCCTGCCCAGTAGGGAGTCTGCTTCTCTCCTCCATCTGTTCCTTCGCCAGCTCATGCTCACTCTCTCTTGTTCTCTCTCAAATAAAATCTTTAAAGTAAAATTTAAAAAAATAAAGCGTATACTTAAGTTTGCACTTTGTTTACATATGTCCTAAATCTTGCTAAATTTAAGAAAGCCATTTTTAAGGCTGTCAACTTTATTGCTTAATTATGATAGTAAGACACATAATAATTGTAACCATTAAGGTATACACCTGATATTTTTCTGTATTTTCTCTCAGGCTGTGGTTGGTTGGTACAAATTCCGACGTCATTCAGACCAGATCATGACATTTAGAGAGAGACTGCTTCACAAAAACTTACAGAAGCATCTTTCAAGCCAGGAACTTGTTTTTCTACTGCTAACACCAAGCATAATAACAGAAAGCTACTCTACTCATCGGCTGGAGCATGCCCTATATAAACCTCAAAAGGGGTAAGTGTTGGCCAGTCACTGGCTATTTTCAGTTAATAAAAAAATATACCCTAAAAAAAATAATAAAATAAAAATAAAAAAGTATACCCAATGTTTTTTTTTTTTTTTTTAAGATTTTATTTATTTATTCATAGAGATGCAGAGAGAGAGAGGCAGAGACACAGGCAGAGGGAGAAGCAGGCTCCATGCAGAGAGCCTGACGTGGGACTTGATCCAGGGTCTCCAGGATCACGCCCTGGGCTGCAGGTGGTGCTAAACTGCTGCGCCACTGGGGCTGCCCTACCCAATGTTTTCATTTACTTTTTGCCTCTTATCAAATATTTTCAAATATTTTTGCATTACATTATAACAATAACCCTCTGAAGTTGGACTACCATATTTCTTTATAGATGGAAAAATGAAGGTTAGATAAAGAAATTAGAAGCCCAGTATGGAATGGGTTTCTTTGTTTTAGGCACTGAGGATTTGTTATTATTTACCATAAGATGGAAAAAATAGGTATACGTTAGATACTGGTTGCTAAAAGACATAGTATGGAACTAAGCCTTGGTATTTGAGCAGGTTTTCTCTAACCTCTGCAAGGAAGCAAGGTCGTTCTTGCTGACCCACAAAAATGAGTTAGCCACTCCCCCCCCCCCAGATTATATAAATAACATTCTCATGGAATATGAGGATTAAGTAAAAGAGTACCAACTAAAATTAGTTTTATTATTCATGGAAGACAGAATAAATCTCAACAATACTGCCTATTTTTACATGTTAAAATAGCCATTAAAGTACTATTTTCACACAACTATCTTAAGGCTGTGCACATTTCACCACTTTTAAAAGGCATTTGCCTCAAGTCAGTAAGTTTTATCTTGAGTAAGTAGTATAGCATGGGGTTTTTTTTGTTTTATGATCTTGTAGGGGATCTGTACATAATATATATAAGTATATATGCATTTATAATAGGTGGATAGTAATATTTCACTTTATTCTAAGTTTATACTTCTAAATTTTATTTCTTCAGGCTTTTTCATAGGATACCTTTAGTGGTGGCCAATCTGGGCATGTCCGAACAACTGGGTTATAAGACTATATCAGGTTCCTGTGAGTCTACTGGTTTTAGCCGAGCAGTAAAAACACATAGGTGAGATTCTTCAACTGCTTCCCCTAAATTTACTCCTATTTGTTTTTTAACATTAATTTTTTATTACATAGAATAAAAATGAAAGGAAAACTAATGACCATCTTCCTCAAGTAAACCAGAGTTTTTTTCCTTTCTCCACATTTCCTTCCAACACTTGTACATTTATAATATACAAAAAAAGGGAAGGGGGGTTGTTGCGTAGCCTGTGTGTGTCAGCATGTGTGTTCTAAGAATAGTAGCTAGTCTCAAAATAATTTTCTAAGGCAGCAATTTAGATTATAAAAAGGCATGAAATTAGACTGAATATTAAGTAATGACAGAATATGAGGCTTTATTCATAGGCTGTTAAGCTATAACTTTGTGTTTATTAAGGGAATAGTTAATATCAGAAATAACACTGGTAGTATAGAGGGCTTACTAGAGTGGAAATTTAGAATAAAGGACTAGATTTTTATTTATTTTTGTGTTCCATAAAGATTAACAGTTTTATAGAAATTGAATACCACATTTCATTGATTCTGAGGTGCAGTTTTACATTTATCTCAAATTGGATATTTTACAAACTATGCCTTCACCTTTTTTTTCTTTTTGGTATATAAAATAATGTTCCCACTTTGAATCAGTGATGACTTAAATTCATTTAAATATTTTAAAAATTGACTGGTCCCCATTGCCAAGAAAGAACCCCCCCCCCCCACTTCAGTATTTATTTTTACTTAACCTCTTTTGAGTCCTGGCAATAGTACTTAAGAGGCTTCAAAGTCTGCTAATGTAAAGACGTACGAACTAAGTTTTCTAATTGGCTTTGCTGTGAACAAGGAGGTTGACAAAATATGATCCCTACAAAACCAGTATAAAAAGAATCTTTTGCTCAACTACAAATAAGTTTTTCATTGTTGCATTAAAATTAGTTCTATATATTTGCCTGACAAAATGGTAATTTTTACAGCTCTGAATTTTTTACAGAAGATGGATCTTTAAAGGAGGTACATAAAATAAATGAAATGTATGCTTCTTTACAAGAGGAATTAAAGGTAAGTTAACATTCAAACACTTAAAGACTACTTCTAGAGTTCATATCAAATTGATAACTGAAATCTTTTAGAGACAACTTGACATTTATTTGGATTTATATTTTTGTAACAGTTTAGGTTCAGTAACAAAGACCTCAATCTCAGTGGCCTACAAAAACAAAAGTTGTTTCACTAACAATATACCTTGGCTGTAGTTTTGCTCCTGGTATAAGTGCCATCTTCATTCTAGGTTCCAGACTGAAGGAGCAGCCCTCATGTGGGATGTGGTCTTCTCATGACAATAGAAACAAGCAAAAAAGCTGGTAGAAATTCACAACAGCTTTCAAAACTTCTGCTCAGAGCTGGCATGTTATTTCCACTCACATTTCATTGGCCAGATTATATATCCCCATTTCGTGGTGGTAGTCAAGGATATATAATCCTTTTACAGGATAAAAAGGGAAGTAGTATTTGAGAACAAAACAATCTACCACAGTACTAAATTCTATCTCATTGTATCAGTTGAGAAGTAGACCTCAAGATGGGATTAGATATGTAAGAGATTTATTAGGCCTGAGAAGGATAAAGGGGGAGGAGCAAGAGCAGGCAGGGAGACTTGTAATGCTGAGTCTGACACCTGAGAAAGGAGAGAGTAAGGGAGGACAGGAGGTTAGAGAGAACTTTAGACTGCAGGGCTAGAGAGGTCTCAGCCAGTCTGATGGGAGTCTTAGCAAAGTGGTCCTACAGGGATGGATTTGTACCTAATACTCCTATTGGTTAAGAGCAGCCTAGGAGAAGTGTGGCTTTAGTGGTGGGCCCAAAAGTATGGTCGCTGGTACTGTTACTCAACTACTCAGATTTCCATTTAGAGATAGTATATTCCATGGCCACCATACTCATGGATATAGTACATGAAGATAATAAGTTAATACATTTTACACTACTAATATTGCACACTATTTTTTAATGTGAATAATACAGGAATCTTAGAGAAACATCCAGAATCCCATTGCTGTAACATAACTATTTTCACTTTGCCACATTTTCTAGTTTTTTCCAAATACATACATGCTTTTACATAGTTGACAGTGATGAGGACTTACAAACTTGTGTCATGATTTTTATTTTATGTCATTAAGCATTTTTCATTTTAAAAGCATTAAGCATTTTTGCTATATATTCTCCAGGATCACGCCCTGGGCCGAAGGCAGGCGCTAAACCGCTGAGCCCACCCAGGGATCCCCATATTCTGTAGTTATTTTTAATGGCAGTATATTTCATATAGCAATATATTAGAACTCCTATCTCAAAACTACTAACTTGGGCTAAAATAGGGAATGTAAAGGTATGTTACAGAAACTGTAGGCAGAAAGCAGCTGAGCTTCAGGAAAGAATTAGAACCAGGAGCCTGAATGCCATCAGAACTTACTTTTTCCCTTTTTGTCTATACATCGGTTTCCTTCATAGTCTGTACAGATGTTTGTTTATTCCTTAGCCAGCCAGAGGACCGCATTGAGATCTATTCAGAAGGTATTAGGATTTGCCAGCTGGCTATGAGGTAGCTCTGCTTGGGTCAGTTAGGGTGAAAGCTGGTCAAGGAGTTACTGGTGAACTTTTATGGCGTGGTAGACAAAATGGTGAGAAGTAGGCTGGGCAGATATCCTAAAATGTATCCATTTTAAAGCTAAGTGTGGAATAAAAAACTAACATTTTAAAACTAGATGTAACAACCTATTACCCAGTGATTAGAAATTAGTTACTTTTGATTTGGTATACTTAGAAACATTATCTTATATAAATTTATATTATTTACTTTAAAATATATTCCCAAATGAAATCAGAGTATTTAATTAGTTTTTAAAATTGATGACATGTAAGGCCAGCCTGCTTTTCAAAAGTAGTTTCTTTTATACTAATTAAAAGTCTTTAATAGTTTTCTTTCATAACAAAACATAGTTACTTTTCTTTATTGTCAGTTTCTTAAATGTTTGCAGTAAATATGCATCTCTCAAAATACTGTTATTTTTTTTCTTTCAAAATAACAAGGTTTTTTTTTTGGTTTTTATTTGTGTATTAAGCAGATAACTTGTATAATAAAGCTGTGTATAAATGGGAAGTTAATACATCTGGAAAGCATTTTATAAATATAAAGCACCATATAAGTGCTTGTTAAGTTCTTTCAGAAAATAGCAAAACAAAATAAAATATTTATAAGGGGCCAGTAAGGGGCACCTGGGTGGCTCAGTTGGTTGACAATTTGACTGTTGGTTTCAGCTCAGGTAATGATCTCATGGTTGTGGGATTGAGCCCCAAGTCAGGCTCCATGCTCAGTGTGGAGTCTGCTTCAGATTCTCTCTCCCTCCCACTCTGCCCTTACTTGTGTGCTCTCTTTAAAAAGGAAAAAAAAAAAAAAAGATCTTGAAAAAATATATATATATAAAGGCTAACAATACTTGAGACTGTGTCCACAAAGGATTTTCTATAATTTGTGAACCAAGTTGATTCCTACACAACTTGGAATTTTATCTATGCCCTTAATTTCATTTTGCAGAGTATATGCAAGAAAGTAGAATACAGTGAGCAAGCAGTAGAGAAACTACTAAAGGATGTAACCAGATTGAAACGGGAAATTAAAAAAAGAAAACAGGCACAAACCCAAGCAGCACGTAAGTAAAAAGTACACATCACTACCTTTTGTGCTTTAAAAGAAATTCTCACTGATGTGAACTATGGATGAGCTGGCTACAGTAACTGATGAACTTATCAACCTTAGGGTTAAAAATAGTAGTTTTATTAATACTTTTAAATCTTGTTAACAAAGAACTTGGTATTACTGTAGCTTTACTATATTGTTGATATTAAAAAATACAACTTAAATTTTCTTTTAGAATATAGTGGCATGGAAATTAGAATTTGAGATTATGCATACCACTTTTCTCAATTTAGAGGATTTGATATAACTGTTCAGTTGAAGTCTTTTTGACATTACCAACAAATAATACAAAAGCTTTGTAGAACAAATATTATTTTGAATTGTCTTATTTTGTTTAGGTGAGAACATCGAAAAAGACCCTCAGGAGAACATTTTTCTTTGTCAAGCTTTACGGACCTTTTTTCCAGATCAAGAATTTCTTCATTCATGTGTTATCTCCTTGAAAAACAGGCATATCTCTAAAAGTAGCTGCACTGCCAACCACCAGCTCAATGTGATAGACAACCTGACCTTAATGGTAGAATACACTGATGTTCCTGAAGCTAGCCCAGCTAGCGGCACACCACAGATGCTTAAACGTAAAGCTTTAGATACCGATGATGGATGGCAATTGAAGAAGTCACGGCTGTTAGAGATACAAAACAAACCATCTAAAACAGATCCTGATAGTAGTAATCAAGAAAAAGCATCCACAATGAGCAGCCCGGAAACAGATGAAGACATTGAAAAAATGAAGGGTTCTGGTGAATATCCACAGTCTCCTACATTTTGATCCTTTTAGGTCAAAAGGAGATTTTTAATTAGCTGAAGGGTAAAGCCATTTATATTGTTTTTACCAAATCCAGGTATTTGCAGAAATACATACATTCTAGTGCATTTATTTCTTAAAGTACTTTATTTTAAAACCATAACCTTTTTGCCCCCCCCCCTTTTAAAGATTTTAAGTAATTCCTCCACCCAACATGGGGCTTAAACCCACAACCCCAAGAGCAAGTCACACATTCCACCAACTGAACCAGCCAGGTGCCCCCTGCCCCCTTTTATGAAACTCTTGAGGGAAAAGCTTAAGTGATATTCTTTTAAACTTCTATAGCATTCTTTTTTTTTTTTAAGATATTTTTTTAATTTTTTTTTTTTTACTTATTTATGATAGTCACACACAGAGAGAGAGAGGGAGAGGCAGAGACAAAGGCAGAAGGAGAAGCAGGCTTCCCGCAAGGAGCCCAATGTGAGACTCAATCCCAGATCCCAGGATCACGCCCTGAGCCAAAGACAAGACGCTCAACCACTGGGCCACCCAGGCGTCCCACTTCTATAGCATTCTTTAGGATTGGAAAAGACTAGCCTTATTTTCATGATAGGAAAAGAAAAAAAAGATGTCTAAGGTAATATGAAGTGTATTTCATTTTTAAGTCATAATTCCTGCTCTTTAGGTTATAAATGGCTGGGGTTGCCAGATAAAATACCGGAAAACATGCAATATTAGGCATTAAAAACTTACTCATTGTTTAAGTGAATAACTGAATTTGAATTCAAATTATGGCAAAACTATAATGCAGCAGCACAAATACCTCTCCCTAGTCTAGAGTCCTCTACACAAAATTCAGTGAATCCAGAATTTGAGTACAGAACAAGCCTGGTAATGCAGTGTGTCTGAGATCAGCAGCTGGTCAAGTAGCTGAAAAGGCCAGTTCAAGTAGGGCTCAAAAATGGAACATATGTGTATATATGTATACATATGTCTATCATAGATTTCACTATAACATAAGGCAGAATTGTACCTTCATTTGCCAACCTTTTGTTGTAGAACTAGGAACTTTTCTGGGAGTATATTGTTGTTCCTATGTAAATCATATTCCTTACTTAACCTTTACAATTCCCAGTTTTAGTTTCTTTAAAGTGAATTAATTTAAAGAAACTTGAAAGCAAAGCAACCTAAGTACAAAACACTACTTTTTTCATTTCACAGCACCCTCCTACTTCCAGCCTTCAGTTGTCCTAACCACACCTAACTTGACAACTATTTTCTTAAAGCTATTTTTTTTACAAGCCTTTCAAAAGCATTTACTTCATTTTCATTGCAACAATAACTTTGATGCTTATACTTCGTTAATACAATGACAAACAAGTGACACAGGTCTGGGAACAAAATAGCTGACTCTTGGTAATGTAAAACTCAATAGGTTTGAAGAGTCATGGGCTTCACTATGATTTTTGATGATGTAAAGCCCCAGTTTAATTCAGTAAGTTGGTTAAGTGGAGGTTGGCTAACAGAGCTTTTATTGTGCTTTTGTATTTGTCTTTTCCATAATTGTGAGAATTTTCCATCAAGCCTATATATCTATGAAGCCTTCATGTTTTACTCAGTGGATGAAATACTGGACATAGACTTTGACCATTGCTTTTCTATCTGCTACTTCCTAAGTGACAACAAATTCATAGCTACTATCAAAACTGTCTTTTATCTGTGTTAACATGCGTTAGTTACCATGGGGTGCTAACGAAGCCCATGTAACAGTAGGGATGGCCTGTACAAATAATGAGTTTCTGTTGGGATTGCTTAACTGGTTGCCTAAGAAGCACTGTAGTGTAACATCACCAGGCAGAGGGGTAATATGTTGGCTGTCTGAAGCCTAATTTAAAAATAACCACAAACATCACTAGAGCATATAGAACACCACATAGAATGTAGATTAGGACTAAATGCAATAAACAACTACTAGAGGTCACCAGAACACAGGACTGCTGGTTGACCTGTGAGCTGGATTGAAGCAAAGATTCTTCACCCCCTCCTGTCTTTGGAATGTACATTTTGCTTACTGTTGACACACTGGGAGCTTTTCCAAGGACATAGACTTTTAAAAAAGTAAGGTGTTGACACCATTTGGGTTGTGTGTGTGACCGAACCCAGTTAAGGTCTCAGTATAAACTTTTAAGAGTGGCAGGCAGGTGCAGAGATCTACTTGCCTTGTGGCTACCCAAGACAAACTTCCTACGTAAGTTACCTGCCCCCTAGACACCTGGAGCTGTCTGCCACTTCAGTCCTTCCCTGCCCTCCATGAAGCAGTTTATAAACCAACAGATAAAACAGGCCAGACAAATGCAGAAGCAGTAAGTAACCAACATAAGCAAATGTCTTCTGAAGACCATAGCTTAAGATTTTTCGAAGACTGCTTACAAACACTCTTCAGAGTTCATTTTGTTAAAACACTGTATAGAATGTTACTTGAGTCATACTCGTACACAACAATTCATCTTTGAAGAAAGATGCTAAACTTTAAATCAGAGAATCTTGCTGAGGTCAGTCAATACTGGCCAAACTTCCATAATTAAGTTTCATGACCCACATTTCAGGGTATTAAATGAAAAGAAGGAAAGGGGTCCTTATCTCCCCCCCAATTATCATCTTTGGGCGATTAATTTGTATCACTGGACTAAGATACAACGACATAGTCCTAGACCATCTACCTATGGATCATTTTAAAAATGTGCCATCAGTTTTAGGATAGACTAGCCCAGGATTAAATGTTAGATCCTGTGACTGTGCTACTACCCATCCCCATGTAAGAGCTCTACAAAGGGAAGATCCATTGTCCTAGCCAGGCAAACTTCTATTTGTTAGTTAGAAAACCTGAGCAATTTCAAATCCACACCCTGTCACATGGAATTTGTACATTGATACAAGCATTCCACCTTCATGCACCCGTAACCCTTAAATCCTATTTATAAGACAGAATCTGGGCCAGATGGAAAATTACAATACAAATCATTCCTTCCATATTTAAAATCCCAATGAGTTGTTTAAGCTAACTGGGACCATTGTACAGTACCTATTTTTAAAATTTGTATGTATGTATGTAAAATGTAATAAGTATTAACGTTTTAAGTAATTTGTTTTCTTTAAAACAGTGAAGAGGAAGCTTTACTCAAATACATTTTCCTTATGAGATTTCAATTATTAATTAAAAACAATACTTGGGGATGCCTGGATGGCTCCGCGGTTGAGCATATGCCTTCCACCCAGGGCATGATCCTGGAGACTTGGGATCAAGTCCCACACCGGCTCCCTGAATGGAGCCTGCTTCTCCCTCTGCCTAGGTCTCTGCCTTTCTATCTCTGTCTCTCATGAATAAATAAAACTTAAACAAAAGCAGTACTTTGATAAGATTTAGCCTATTTTCTACCCAAAGTTTATTAAATCTTATCATTTGGATCAGTATTAGAATCATACAACCACTTACTGTAAAATATGTTTATTGATAAAACTCATGTAATTTACTCCCGATACTTGATGTTACAAACTTTAGGGTCTTTGAGAAATGCAGGATCCTTGTATGTAACTGGCATAAACCCTGTAAAAAAGATAATGAAAGTGCTTCACAAAAGATAATGAGCAAAGTTTTAATTAGCCCAATTCAGTTTTTCAGGTGCTTACCCATTATTTGAGCTCTCTTAATTGCTTTTGTGATTTCTTTCTGTTTCTTCCCACAAAGACCTATAAAAAATGCTTTCATATTCATAAAAAATATCAACACTCAAAAAATGCATAACAACTAGGGACACCTGAATGGCTCAGTGATTGAGCATCTGCATTTGGCTCCAGGTGTAATCCTGGGATGCAGGATCTGGAATCCAGGATCCTGCATCAGGCTTCTTGCAGGAAGCCTGGTTCTCCCTCTGCCTATGTCTCTGCCTCTCTCTTCTCTGTGCCTCATGAATAAATTAAATAAACAAATAGTCTTTTTTTTTTAAAAAAATGCATAACTACTTATCTTAAGGCAAGGTTGGAAAACCTGTAAATTAGCCAGGTGGTAAATATATTAGGCTTTGCGGGCCATACAGTCACTGTCATAATTACTCTGATGTAGCTCACAAAGCAGCCATAGACACAATGTAAACTAAGCTACTTACAAAAACATGGCAGAGCAGACTTGGCCGTAGCGTAGGCCCCTGGCTTGAATAAGTAATCCAGGAATTATTACAGTATACTGTAAAACATCAATGCAATTTTCTTAAGTCCTAATTTTTTTTACATGTCCACCTATAGTTAACTCTGAGCATAAGACGACATGTAAAATAATAATCCTTTTGGCTTACAAAGAGGCCTTCTCAAAGTACCTGTAGTATTTGGTCTACTATTGATTTATAGCACAACTTGAAAATTTGACAAAATTTTTCTTAAATAACAGAGGTAGATATGTATAATCTTTTATAAGTTGCTATAATAGAAAACAAAATACCTGTTATGTGCCTTCCATAAATGCATCCAGTAAATGGAGAAATAAACTGGGACAAAAGCTGTTTTGAGTTTTTTTTGGAGGAGAAAAAAAATTTACATCAATACATTTGTTTAACCTTGGTTATGTAAATTAAAGAATTATATATTACTTTCAAGTTATGTAAAGGTTTATTAATTTCAGACAAATTTCATGAAATAAAAATACTAAACTGTGCTCATTCTATTAATAGATCATCTTTTTAAATGAAAAAAAAAATGACTACTAAAGTTAACATCTCTTATCCAGTGTGTCAAGATAGATTGATGTGCACATTTTTTCAGTACTAAAGCTGTTTTCCTGACTTTTCCACAGATACTTTCCTAAAATACTATTGTTTCTAACAAGGCACTAAGCATTTCATCTGTCATGATAGGCTACTACATTGTGTCAGACTACATACAGTGAGGTCTTCAAGAGATACAGGTACATCAGGCCACTTGCCATAATTTATGTTTTACTAATTTAAACTCTAGTACTTTTCAGGAACTGGGCACTGTTCCTGGCACTACACATAATGCTCCTGATACAATGCACCTTTAAAGTTCTTGGCTTTGCTCCTAAGGCAGCTACTAACACTTTATGCTGTCTGTCAGTATA